ATCAGTAGATTTCAGTCAATGTGACTTGAGTGCAGAGGAGTCCCTGTTCAGGCTTAACTCCACATGTGTGGATGTCTTAGATTCAGTTGCTCCTGTAAAATCCTCAAAACTTAAACCTAGATCTGAGCCCTGGATTGATGACAACATACGCTCTCTGAGGCAGATCTGTAGGAGAGCGGAGCGTAAGTGGAAAAAGGATCGGCTCCAAATTTCTTTTGAAATTTTAAGAGATTCATTATTCAAATTTCAGAAGGCAGTCAGAGCAGCGAAATCCAGGTATTTCACGGCAATTATTGTCAAGAATTACCACAGACCTAAAACTCTTTTTACTGTTTTTAACGCTGTTGTAAATCCAACTGTTTGTGAGTACCCAGATGTGTCAAAAACTGTGTGAGATGACTTTCTTAGATTTTGTATTAATAAGATCAGTGATATCAGGTTGGGGACATCTCCACCTACTTTTGATCCTTCTGTTTGTTCTGTTGAGTTCAGCCAGTTTGAACCTATTTCTTTTATACATCTTCAAGAAATAGTGTATCAGTTACAGCCGTCTGGCTCCTCCATTGATTATATTCCACCATATTTCCTGAAACAAGTTTTTGATGCAGTGGGTCCCTCTCTTGTGACCATGATACATCGATGTTTTGAGACTAGTACTGTGCCGGATGTGTTAAAACATGCTACAGTCTATCCCTTGCTTAAGAGGCCGAACTTAGATCCTTCTGTTTTAGCCAATTATAGACCCATTTCAAATCTGTCTTTTATTACAAAGATCTTAGAAAAAGTAGTCCTGCAACAGCTACAAGATTTTTTAGATGAAAATAAGACCTTTGAGGTCTTTCAATCAGGTTTTAGAAAACACCACTCGACTGAGACTGCATTTCTGAAAGTTTTAAATGATATTCTATTAACTGGTGATGCTGGGGATCATGCTGTGCTTGTGCTCCTAGACTTGAGCGCTGCTTTTGACACTGTGGACCACGCTATCCTGCTTGCTCGCTTGGAACACTGTGTAGGCATAAAAGGAAGTGCTCTTGAATGGTTTAAATCTTATTTTGCCAATCGAAGTTTTAGAGTTAACATTGGTGAACGCTCATCTGAGGTAGCTTCTTTGTCATGTGGTGTTCCCCAGGGATCCATTTTGGCTCCTATTCTTTTTTCATTGTACATGCTCCCATTGGGTTCTATTTTTAGGAAGCATGGTCTGTCTTTCCATTGCTATGCAGATGACACTCAAATCTATCTGCCCTTAAAACAGAGTTCAAATGGTCTGGAAGCACTTATGTCTTGCCTGTCTGATGTGAAAACTTGGTTGTCTTTAAATTTTCTTAATTTCAATGAGAGTAAAACTTAAATAATTGTGTTTGGTCCGTCGGATTCTCGTAGTACACCGAAAGTAAATCTTGGCGATTTAACCTCTTCCGTGAAGCCTTGGGTAAAAAATCTGGGTGTTATTTTTGATGATGGTTTAAAATTTGATAAACAGATAAATACGGTGGTTAAGTCCTGCTTTTTTCAGCTTCGACTTCTAGCGAAAGTAAAACCTACCTATTTTGTCTAGTAAAAATTTTGAAAAAGTCATTCATGCTTTTATTACATCTAGATTAGACTACTGCAACTCGCTGTATTTTGGGATTGGTCAGTCAGCCCTATAAACCGCTTGCAGATAGTTCAAAATGCAGCTGCAAGGCTTTTAACGAGTACCAAAAAAATGGGATCACATTACACCAGTTTTACGTTCTCTGCAATGGTTGCCTGTGCGCTATAGAGTTAATTTTAAAATTCTTCTCTTAGTGTTTAAATCATTAAATGGTTTGGCCCCTGCTTATTTATCTGATTTATTGACTGAACATCAGCCCCTCTTGTCTCTCCGGTCGTCCAACCAGAGATTATTATGCATCCCAAAGTCGAAGCTTAAATGCAGGGGTGACCGTGCTTTCTCAGTTGCTGCCCCTAGAGTGTGGAATGCTCTGCCCCACTGTATTAGATCTGCACCTTCACTATCTGTTTTTAAATCCATGTTGAAAACCTACCTTTTTGACTTGGCGTTTTATCAATGAGAACTTTCTACTGTACCGTTTCTTTTAGTAATTATTTTGTATTGTCTTATTGAAATGTTTTTATTGTGCAGCACATTGGTCAACCCACGGTTGTGTTTAATAGTGCTATATAAATAAAATTGACATTGACATTAATAATAGACTTCTAGGCATTGATAAAGCATTTTAATATTTTTGTATCCAATCTCCTGTCTTGTGCCTGTCCACAAATTTATCCCGGAGATCTTTTGACAGTGCCTTTCTAACAGTGCCATAGTTGATTGTTTGCTTCAGTTGCACTACCAAGAACTGAAACGCTCCAGGAAAGCTCTTTTCATGCTGAGCTGATCAAAATGATCACAGCTGATCACAGTTGAAAGTCAAATGGCTTTGTGTGCCAATGAGAAGGTGATTAACTACACCTGATTGAGTTTACAAGTAATTTTTAGGAGGGGGTGATCCTTTTTCCAACTCAGTGATTCTGTTTTTTGTTTTCCTGACATGTTGGTGTTATCTTTCACTTGGATGTTATAAGTTGCACTGAGTAGCTGATTTCCTGTCAGAAATTAGTAGGAAGTGTAGAAGCTCTTGCTTTAAATGACTTCAGCACATCTGCGGCTGCAGGATATCAATTGTTTCTCACACTGTGCTGGTGTGATCTTGGTCTACTCTTCTTTCAGTCTCTTCCACAGTTTGGTGACTGTAGTGGGTTTCTTAGCCATAACTTTGTTGCCAAGTATTTTCCAGAGATTTTCAGGACTCTGGGCCACCATTTCATTATTTCATTTCAATGTTCTTATCCATTTTGCAGTGTGACGGGGACATTGTCTTGCATGAAAATTGCAGGCTGACTGGGAGATGCTTGCAGAGAAAGAATTGAATGTCGCTGAAGGAGGTTCTAATAAACAATTGCATTCACACTGCCATGTAGCTGTATAAAAGACCCAACTCCTGCTGCACAAAACATCCCCCAAACCATGACACTTCCTCCTCCACCTTTCACTTCTTTACGCACTTGGGCTTCAGTATTTCCCCAGTTTGACGCAGAATATAATGTTTCCCATCTGACCCAATTAAATTAATGTTGTTCTCATCAGTGAACCAGTTCTTCTCTCTCCACAAAACATGCTCCTCAGCAAAGGTGAGCCTAACTTTTTGATTCTTTCAGCTGATGAGAGGCTTGGTCACTGAAGAGTGCGCTTTCAGTCCGACTTCTCTTAAACATCCCGAGACAGATTCATACCCTGTGATGCACACAGTGAATGAACTGGTGAGCAATTCCAGCTGCAGTGTTGAACCAATTCCCCATTGAGAGTCTCCGCATTATCCTGTCTTCGCGTACATTTGTCTTATGTGGACAACCAGACTTTTTGAGGGACAATGATACTTAATGAATTAGTATCATTGTAAAGCTGCAATATTCAAGAAATCACATGTTTTGTAACGACCAGCTTCTCTTGAAATGACTGAAAGGGTGATCCTTTAGCCTTCATCTGGACCGCCACCTGTTGAAGGCTTTCAGTCACCTTAGAGAGGCCCGCCATCTTGCAATTTCAGTGAAAATTAGAGGAATGCTGCCAATTAAATAGGGTTTGTCATATAATTAAGGAAATTAGCACTAGGTGTCAGTAACACCAATAACTTGTAGGTATCTGTAAGTGTTCTCTAATTTTGATCAGAGCTCTTTTTCAAATATCTCATTCAAGTTTTTTTAAACTGTGCTTCAGAATACAATTTATGAAATATGCTTTAAAAAACTGCCCTTTTACTCCTGTTAGGATAACTTCAAATAAGACTAAGCAGTGACCTTAAAATGTAGGAAATTGTAGGTTGTTCTCTAATTTTGATCTCCACTGTATGTGTGTGTATTTATACATATAAATACAATTATTTTAGACACAGTCTGGAGCCAATAACATCTGCCCTGAATACAAAGCCCATAAACTTTACTTTTATTGGACTGTTGTTGTGGATTTATCATAACATTTTAACCTGTGTATACTGTACTTCTAGGGACATGGCACTTACTTCCAAGAGCTTCTTCACATCCCACACACCATCCTTTCTTCCTAATGGGCTGCCGTCCATGTTGTAGTGAATCTCTTCGGGGGCAACTTTTGTGGGCTCCTTGTTTATGATTATCTGTGGGCATATTTACAACTAAGATGGCAATATAACACCCACAGATCAAAAACTTGGACTAGGACTCTTGAAAAAAGCAACAACAACAAAAAATCCTTATAAAAAGGCAAAGCATTGAGCACATGAACACTGTAACAAGATGGATAAAGCATGAAATAGATTTAGTCAAAGTGTCAGCTAGAGGAAAGCTACTTCTGAGAAAAAGCCCAACATTAGGTTACACCTGGAGTTTGCTACAAGCCATGTGACAAATTCTGGAAACTTTTGTGGTCTGTTGAAACTAACATTAAGCTCTTTGTATTAGAGTTAAGCTGCTGTGATCTGTTTCACTTCAGAGTCATCCGTTCTACGAGTGATCGGAAGTGAAAAAAGCAGGGTTGTTTCTGGACAATCCTTTAAACCCGTAAGACTTTTTTCTGTGGAACAAAAAAAGGAGGTGTTTTGAATAATGTTCTGGTTGTACTGTCCCATACAGTTACAATGAATGGACAGTGAGGCTTTCAAGCTTTAAGAAGGATGCAAAAGCAAGTATCATAAAAGTGGTTCATATGACTTGTGTGCTGTATTGCAACTCGTCTGAAGCCATATGAGAGCTTTGTGTGAGGAACAGAAGTCATACAAATACAAAATTTTGTCATTATTCAAGTCATTATTCACTGATAACCTTCAACTTAGTGAGTTGTTAACTCAAGAAATGCTCATCATCAGTTAATGAGTTTTAATCAAGAACTGTATCACTGATTTTTCAATGAATAATTCCGAGTGGTTTAATGAACCATTTTAGTGATTCAATTTCACAAATCAGACATTATTACTTCTCTCACTAATGTTTCATTGATAGTTTGAAAGGATATCAAGATTTTCAGTGAATAATAACAAAAAAAAATATATAGTACAGTTGTATAGAACGGTTTTAATATATTTTTGTAGAGCCTTTGCACCATTTTTCACACTGTAAATCATCAACAATCCCTTTAACAAATAAGGACAAAAACTAGAGGGTTATCACGCTTGAAATAGTTAACCCTGGATCATTCCCAAGTAAATTGAATCCTGGATTATTTTATTTCACATTTATAGCACTTGTATTATTGCAGACTGAGCTATCAAGTTTTGCCTGAATGGACTTTGTCTACAAAGGTAAGAATAATACAGTCTCTTCTTCACTCCAATTAACATGTTTTGTCCCCACTTGACATTTTTCCCTTGAAACTCTGAAACGACTGTTTACACAATGTGCTATGCTTTCATGACTGTCAAAAGCATGTGAATATGAGACATGTGATTGCATGTCTGTCTACTTATAACATTGTAACACCGTTTCGTTTAACACAAGTTTAACTCGTTTAACTCGAGCCTGGTTTCATAACCCTGGGGTAAAAAGCAGTGCTCACCCTGCTTCTAAATTACAAGTGTGAAAAGTACCGTTACCCAGAGTTAAAAGCAGGATTTAGAATGTCGATAACCCAGGGTTAACCGTAGTTTGAAAAGCTCTTAGGAAAATAAAACTCATCTACTGAAGAAAAGAACTGAGGAGGATGATCCTTCCAGATTTGAATGATTAAGAGTTATTGAGGTCACCTGCTGAATCTGCACACCGTAGCCTTTAAAATCATCATCCCAGGATGTGTTTCTGTATATATCATCCACTCTGTCGATCAGCTCAATCTGAAAGACACAAAACACACAAATTCAATGCATTTTTAATTTGATATCATGGTTTTTATATGGACCTTACCCTTAGTGCAACAAACTGCTCTGTTGTATAGCACAACCACAAAATTGTATGTGTTCTAATTTAAAGTGTTCCAGTTGCATTGCTTACCAAGTAGTTGAGGGTGGTGCTCTCCTCTCCATGGCCCATGTGCTTGTAGAAGCGATGATCTGCCACTAAAAGCAGCGGACAGGTGTTCTTCTTGTGGTCATGTGCAGATCTTCTCTCTATGTTGTGAGGCTCTGTATTTAAGAAATAAAAGCATCTAAACATGCTGCACTATAAAATTAAAACGGAATAATTATTTCTAATTACTCAGTTCCAAAGCATCAATGTCCATAAACAGATCTACACAATTTAAAGCAACACAATGGGGGACTTCCATAACTATTATAATGGAGGACAAAGAATGAAGTTAATGAATTGAATTATTATGCTTTGTCTCCAGACTATGTTCAGTTCGCATAGCAGGTTATTGCTGTGTGATCACATGCTTGAATGGTTGGCCTTTGTCAGACTGATGTAGCTCCTACACATGGAGTAACCATCTCGCTCATCATGAGCATGTGATGAAAGCTGAATATCTATTTTCTGTTTAGGTTGCTATCATGATTAAATGTGTCTGTCTCGAAATGGCTGAAAAACAAAACAACATGTGACAATTACACTTATATTCAAAAGTTTAATGTTGGCTAGTTTTTTTAAATTTTATTAGAAGAAAGTCTCTTGTGCTCACCAAGGCTGCATTTATTTGATAAAAATATAGTAGAACAGTAACATTGTGAATTATTATTAAAATTAAAAATAACTGTTTCTATTTGAATATATTTAAAAATGTAATTTATTTGTGTGATGGCAAAGCAGAATTTTCAGCAAGCATTACTCCAGTCTTCAGTGTCACAGGATCCTTCAGAAATTCAAATCAGTTTTGTAGCTTAATATTTTTGTGGAAACTGTGATACATTGTTTTTTCAGGATTCAATCAATAGAAAGTAAAAACAACAACAACAACGCATTTATTTTAATTTTTTTCTTTCATTTTTAAAAAATCAATTTAATGTTCCTCACTGAATAAAAGTAATTATTTCTTTAAAAAAAAAATCTTATGAACCCCAAACTTTTGAAATGCTAAATAACTTATTTCATAGTGAAAAAAAATATTTAGGAGCTAAATGTAGGCAGGGCTAGAATTTTCATAAGGATTTAGTAAGAGTGCAGCGCTTCTCAAACTAGATTCCATACGGTCCGAGAGTTCATTTGGTGGTTTAAAAAAAGAATATAATTGTATATAATTTAAGTTATGTCCATAACTATGGATCTATGAGACCTCACTCAGACCATCACCATGGTCTTATCCTGAATGGCGCCATTCTTCCGCCTATCCTCTAAACCTAATAATAACAATGTCAGGTGACTGACCTTAGGGGTTGGCTGTTATATAACATCCGGAGGGACCAACCACTTCCTCCTGCCTGGAATGCCTCAGCTCCTCCCGAGTGACAAGGGATGGTGACGGTCATCATTCGTCTCATAGATCCATAGTTATGGACATAACTTACGATCTATTTCGACCTCACTCAGACGGTCACCATGGTCTTATCCTGGATGACTAATGCCAACAGAGTCACGAGGGACTAGTATCATTCCCTTCCCCTGGTAACTTAACAGCAGATAAAACAGCAGACCCCAAAGAATTTGGATTTGTCACATCAATCAAAATCTTGTGAACATGCATGGAGTGCTCCAAGAGGCCGGCACACATGTCTGAGAGTGCTACCTCCTTAAGTGCCGCCCAGGAAGTGGCCATACTCTTGGTAGAATGGGTGACCAGATCACCAGGAATAGGTAGATTTTGACTGGAATATGCTTGTGAAATTGTATCAATTTTCCAGTGAGACAATCGAAGGTCTGGGTAAAAAGCATCAAGCTCAATTACCTAATTTACTGTACCAGGCCTAAGGACCTTGGGTAGGAATAAGGAATTTGGCCAAAGATAAACCCCTGGATTTTCCTTCATTGACTGATAAAGAGTCCAATTCACTAACCCTCTTAGCTGAACATATTGCCAGGAGGAAGACTGTCTTCCATGTCTGGAACTTTGGATCAGCTTGATCAAAACGTTCAAAAGGTGCTTTGACTTGTGAACGTAAGATAACAGTAAGATCCCAAGCAGGTGAGCTCATAACCCTCCCTGGGCATAAATGGTGTGCACCCTTAAGGAATTGAGACACCAAAGAGTGTTTACCAATACTTACACCATCCACTAAAGAATGAAAGTGTGAGATGGCTGCCATATAGACCTTTATAGTATTAACTGATTTCCCTGAATCCAACAATGACTGAAGAAACCAGAGAAAAAAAACTGGTGTCACAATTCTGACAGCGTCTAGCTGATGGTCTTGACACCATGCTGAGAATATTCACCACTTGCTACAATAGTTACTCCAAGTAGAGGGTGCCTAAAAATTATTTATTGTCCTCAGTACAGCTTCATCTAAGTCCTTAGGGAGGGACTGAGCAAAGGCCATACCCAAAGTTGTAGAGTATCTGGCCTCCGGTGCCAAATTTGTCCCTCCGCCTGAGACAGGTGATCAATTCTCCTCGGTAACTGCCTTGGATGACCTTGAACCAAACTTACAAGAGTCGGGAACCAGTGTTTCTTCGGCCATCTTGGGGCCACAAGTAAAACTTTGTGATGGCCCAATGCTACCATCCTGAGCACCAGGAGAATCAAAGGTAGAGAAGGAACCACGTACAACAACTCTTACAGCAATTCTTGAGTGCATCTATCCCCTAAGATTTCTCCCTGGTTTGTTGTTTAGGGAATACCATAGATCGCAATGAGTTGTCTCCACCATCACAAACAGATTGATCTTCACCATACCGAACTGACCCCATATAAGTCTTACCACTTTGGGATGGAGATGCCACTCAACCGGAAGAGGACCAGTTCAAGACTTCTCAGAGCCCATCCACTACAACGATGGGTGAACAGCTTAAAATTACATCCCAAATTAGACAGACATGTAAGGATAAGGGCTACACGAAGGTGTATCCAAAAGTTGCGCTACTGCTGCTGCACAGGGGTTCTCAATATTGTCAAGTAAATGCTGCATACTCAAACAGGATGGGCATTCTCAATATCCATCTCGTGGGTGTATAACAGCCTGACAAAATCAACATTTTGAGTGACTCATGTCAACAAACCAAGTTTAACAGTAATGAAACTCAGTTCTTGAAAGCAAACTTCAAAATAAATTAAATTATGTTTGCAAGTTTTCAATCCTATAAATATATAAACTGTGATGAATCCCTGTCCATTAATTATCTTTCAAAGTCTGCGAACAGCACTCTTTGAATCACACAATATTACTATTTCCTGAGGCTAAACTTCAATAGTTCAACATAAACTTCTTGGTTTTTGTTTGAAAATAAACAAATGACACTATTCACATATAGTTTGTGACGAATCACCAGTCATTAACTGTCCTTCAAATAAAGCCTGCGAACAGAACTTCTCAAAGATCAAAAATCACATAAGAAAATAATTTTCAAATATTCACCATTCTTTCGTGCATACACGCAGTAACCAGGATGGAAATATAGAATCCGCTGCGAACTGCAGACACAAACACAAACACCTGTAAACAGTATAATAAAGTAAAGAGACACTCACCAATGCGTGTTCCAATGACGCGTAAAAAATACAGAAATGAGGAGAAAACGTGACGGATTATAGAATAAAATACATCAGAGAATAGAATAAAAAATAAACCATAAATAAATGAAAATACATAAACAAAAAAAAAAAGCCAAAAAAAAAAGCTAAATATAATTACCATTATTTTTAGAAACCAGGGGTGGTCAGAGAAATGCAAACAAAAAAATTATAATTAATACAGAACAGTAATAAATTATATATTACAGTTTTATATATTAAATATATAAAATACAAATTAATACATAATATACAAAAAATGCTAATAAATACTTAAAAAATAATAAGGGATGGGCAGAGATGAATAACAAGCAATAACACTCTGATGAAAATGATGTGTGTACAGCTGCACTATTATGACAAAAAATCGTAATTGCGATTATTATTTACAATTATTACAATTTACATTGAATGATGTTTATACCAATTTGAAGAAACTGCATGCCATATTTTTATATGAAAACAAGCTGAAAACACTCTAACTGAAAAACTTTTATTGCTTTCTCTAGTATTAAGCCTCAGATGTCAACTATACATCGGATTGGTTTCTTCTTTAAATAAATAAAAATGGTATTATAATGTTATACTAAAACTAAAACAATGGAAAAACGCTTAAGATAACCTGTAGAAAGTAGAAAAAAAACATCTTAAGCACACAGAATAACATAAGTGGAGTTTGAACGATTACGTAATTGTGGCATCCGTAATTGTAATCGCGATTAGAAATTAGATTAATTGTGAAGCCCTATATGCATGTGTGTGTGCCTCGCGTCGGGTGGTTCTTTGCCTCCACGTTAAAGGATTTTAAATGCATGGCAAACCGGTGATTATCCTTTACATACATATATATATATATATACACTAGCATTGCACGGTTTACCATAGTAGTATCTACAGTAGTATCGGCGATACTAAAGCTCCAAAATACTGGCGGTGCCACTGTATTTTTTTAAACTGTAGTATCATCATCACGGTTCTACCGTAAGTAATGTTGTATGTGGGGCAGTCACTAAAATGTTCGAACACTTGTGCCTGCAGATAAACAATACAATAGCATCTTTTTTTTGTCTTGTCGCCTTTCTGCGGTGCTCTTTAAGGACGCAAAATGCTGTGTAGAATTTGCGCCTTATATGTGACCCTGGACCACAACACCAGTCTTAAGTCGCTGGGGTATATTTGTAGCAACAGCCAAAAAAACATTGTATGGGTCAAAATTATCGATTTTTCTTTTATGCCAAAAATCATTAGGATATTAAGTAAAGATCATGTTCCACGACGATATTTTGTAAATTTCCTACCGTAAATATATCAAAACTTTTTTTTACATTTTTGATTAGCAATATGCATCGCTAAGAACTTCATTTGGTCAACTTTAAAGGCGATTTTCTCAGTATTTAGATTTTTTTGCTCCCTCAGATTTTCAAATAGTTTTATCTGGACCAAATATTGTCCTATCCTAACAAACCATACATCAATGGAAAGCTTATTTATTCAGCTTTCAGGTGATGTATAAATCTCAATAGAAAAAAAAAATTTACCCTTATGACTGGTTTTGTGGTCCAGGGTCACATATGGTATTGTGCGATTTCTGATGCTTCAGTTCAAACATGCATCTGATTCAGTTAGTTTTTAATTTGCAATTGTCTGTTCCTGTGAATACAATGGATTTACATACAACATTTGACCCGGACAATCTCTTAAAAAAGAGCAACTCACGCAGCGTAATATGGAATTACTTTGGATTTTTACCTGATGAGACTGGAAAAGGTATTGATGACGGAAAACCAATCTGCCGTGAATGCCTATAGAGTATTCAAGCTAAAGGGGGAATCACCAGCAACCTCATTAAGCACCTTCGGATCCTTCGGATGCATCCCACATCTTTTGCAGAGAACATGAAGGTTAGTGAAACTTATTTACCTTAAATAATTTACCTTCATTTTTGAAGATGTCCTGTTTAACATTACAGTATGTTTTACACATCTGAAAATGAGGTGTTGCACATTAATCGTGCTATCAAGATTTTTAAAATTAGCAGCTTAAACACTGCATTTTAAAATAATAACTGTATATATAATTAGTGGACGACCGATATTGGTTTTTTGACAGCCGATGCCGATATCTTGGAAAGCAGGGAAATTTGAAATAATTTGAAAATTGATTAAAAATAAATGTGTTAAATAAACATACTTATACTTTAGATGACAAAGTATTTTTCACAAATAAATAAATATTTTATAAAAATATAATTAAAAAGGAAGTAAATACTGTAACCAACAGGGCACTCAGTATTCTGGGAAGTTTGTGTGCATTAATCCTATTTTTTCAAATAAAGCCAAGGTAACACTCATTTTACATACAGCACACTGTGAAAATTACATGAATATGACAGTGAACTCACGAGTTTAAAGTTTGTCGATCGCGCGTCTCAATGAAGCTGAACTCTCCTCCTGTCAGCATTCAATTCACACGGACCGAAGGTCACGCAGAGAACACGCGATCATGCAGGTCACATGCACACTTCACAAGATCTCACAACTGGATCCGATTAAGTTTGCAAGGTTTTTGAAATTAGATGTTTATTACACATTCAAAGATTTGTTTAAATGATATAAATGCTGACGGCAAACAAGAAAGTATTATAATGTTTGCCTTTCTATTACTAATAATATAAAAGCAATTGTTATAAGACTTTGTATACATTTTAATTCCTTTGTTTAATTGTTCTAACTGATTATTAGACAGACTTCTATCCATATTTAGACAGAACTGTTAACGACGACAGCGAATAAGAAGGAGAATGTGAGCACTGTGTGCTCAGACGCTGCCGTTCTCAGCGCCGCCAAAATAAAAGTCCTGCCTCGAACTCATCGGTCAAACAGAAAAACTTATCGGCCATTGCCGATATTTAAAAAATGTCAAATATCGGCCGATATATCGGTCGACCACTATATATAATATGTATACATCTCTCAGTTCGTCTGTTGCACTTTTGTCTTGAGTCTGTTCTTGAGTTTGTCCAAATAGCCAGTTATTCATTCTCATTAAAAAAGGATTCGGAGGACATTTTGGTCTGTTTTCATTTATATCTACGTATTTCTGAAAATTTGCTTCATTTTGTAGATTTGAATTATGAATTAATATCATATCGCACGGTATCGCAATACTACTTTGTATTGTGATACTTCAGCTGGTATAGTATCGTAACGTGCTTATGGTTATGTGTTATGGTTATGTCAACCCTAACACACACACACAAATAAATAAATACAAATACAAAATTATTCTTTTTTTTAGAAATCAAGGATGGACAAACAATAATAAACAGAAAATAAATAACTTGATTACATAAAATAAATAGATTGAATAATTTATAATAAAATAGTTAATTTAATTATTATAAATTATATAAAAAAAAATTCATCTCTCTTTGAATATCAAGTAATCTGCCTTTAGCAGCCTCTTGGCGATTTAAAGGCTCCTAATTTAGTGCTTTTCACAGCATAACAGTAAGTGCTGTGTGTTGATCTGTCAGCTTTACCTCTGGAGTGCTGTGAAGCTGACCAGCCGCTCCACATGTGATCGGGCATCAACGTCCCTCTTCCCGACCGAGTGAAGCTGGAGATCTGATGCAGGCACCACATCAAAGTCTGACAGTATGGAGCTGAGCTCATCTGGATGAAGTAATGCATATATACCTATGCATATTCATTACTCCTACATAATTCAACCACACACCTTTCAAAACCCAAAACAACATCTAAAGATCAAATATTATTATATGTAACGTTTCAATATTTTTGGTATATATGTAAATCATATGTAAATGTTTTTTTTTTTCATTCAAACTGCGATTAAATTGCAAATGCAGCAGCTTCCATGTTGGAGGAAATGAACTAACATTAGCAGTCATGAAGCAAGACTGAACTCACAAATCCAGACAACCCCCAAATATCCCCAGATGTTTAGTTTGGTATTTCATTTTCTTGTGGAGTCCATTTGAATTTCCTTCTCAGAGTAACTTACCAAACTCTTGTACGTCTTCCTGATTTCTCAGGTCCTCTTCAACAGATGCTGGCTTCACCGCAGAATGGATAGAAAGTGGAGCTAATAGCACTAAATAACATATCAAAGACTCCATACTGGCGATGAAGCATCACTTCTGTCAAAGCACCATGTCTGGATGTGAAGCCGCAGCTGTCAACATCTAACAGTTACTGTCCGTTCACGACCGCTTATTAAACACTACTATGACAGAGGGCTTTAAATATCAAAACTGACAGGATAGGATCCCGCTGAATGTACATAAATACGAGACAATACACCGCGAACCGCCACAGCGTTTAGTTGGTCTTTCACTGGTTCCTCTGCATTTGACTTGCGCTGCGGGAGAATTCTACTTCCGGTCAACGACTGAACTCCTCGGAAGCGGGATCTTTTATTTTGTATTTATTTTTTTTTATTTTTTTTTACAACCGGTGTCGTGCTTTTTTCCTTTTTCTAACTTAACATTATAAACCAAATTTCATACGTGCAAAGAAAGAAAGAAAGAAATTAATCTTCCAATAACTCTCTTATTATTCCAGCAAATATACATGCTTGTTTACTTTTCATATAATTCAGTGATGGGAAATTGTTAAAAACTAAATCTTTTTTAGATGGAGAGACCTAAGGTTTTGTCTTCACATACATTTATGGATACAGAATTTAGCTAGAAATAACATTAATCATAGAATTATATACATTTGACATAAGCTAATACAATATTTATTGTTATTTATTGTAGTAAAACAAGATTTAATTTAAAATTTTAATGCAAAACTATATTTAAATATTTATCTGTGAGAGAGTAGGCATAAAGATATATACATACACACACATATATATATATATATATATATATATATATATATGGTTAATAACCAGTTTCATAATTATGTGAAATTACGAAGTAAAAAAAAAAGAGTGAAATTATTTTACTTAACAAAATATCTGGCAACCATTATTTTATTTTTCAGCAAGTCATGAAATTACATAATACAACATTTCTGAATCCACTTTTTAATGATATATTTTTCAACAGTGGTCTATTAAACGGTTTCCTTGACATTTGAACCAAAATGCAGACATAACCAAAATTACAGGGGGGAAAAAAAACAGCAATAAACATTAATACATTTTAATATCACGGTGTTAGTGGCACAGACAATATAAGCAAAATGGGTTGTATTTTTGTAATTGTATTTCTTTTTTTATCCTCAAGACTTCACACATGCAATTTTACATCCAACTGTACAAGTGGAATTTGGTTCGGATTCACCAAGAATAAAACATATTCTCTTTATGACGTATCAAAAACAAACAAATACATAAAAAGGCCATCTAAGGAAGAGTGAGAGGCAAAACCAGTTTTAAAAGCCCAATGGTAAAGGGTCACTACCAAGGTCCTTACAAATCCAAAGGGGTACAACATGTTAAATAATTATTAATATTTGGAATAGGCAAATGTCAGGAGTGAAAGACAGACCTCAATGCAAACAGACCACTGTTGAGAAAAAGAAAAAACAAGACACGCTTTCCAAACTCTTGCTCTAACTCCAAACTATAAGAGCTTACAGGAGTTTAATCTGGAAATATAAAAATCAATCTGCAAGGCTAAGTTTTGTGCAACAAGCAAATTCCTACAAACAGGAACGATACAGTTTTTGGCTGTTTGCAAGATCTATAGTGAAAGTCAAGGAGTATTTCCCAGTTTACATGTAAAGCCACAATTACTTCTAATTAGATGTAGGAACAAATGGTGTTTCAAACGGGAACATGACACAACCCAAACAAAGAGAACAAAAACAGCACTTGACTGAATGAACAGCCAAAGTGCAAATTCAATAACCCTGAATTAAGCAAACGATTATATAGTACAACTAATATTTCATAAACACTGTATACAATGGAAAAAGAACACGAAACCGAGTATTACAACAAAATATATACATGCATCATAAATGAAACACAATCAACTGAATTTATATAGGCCATACAACATTAAAGATCTGCTTTGAGTATATATTTACCCACTGTCAAAAAATGTTCCCTCATCAATGTCTTAGAAACCTGCTTTGCATGATTGTCAATATATACATGTATATATAAGCATTACTTTATATTATTCTACATGAAATGGCCAAATGTTGCTGTATAATGTGAGCACAATTAGATTCAGCTTGATCGAGTAACTTGCGTGTTGCTATTCATAACTGACAATGATGCTGTGCTTTCATTTGATCTATCATGCTGATTTTTGCTGGTCATAATCAGACAATAATGTAGCAAAATCACTTCTGAGATGTTATATTACTATATTATTTATCATGGCCATTTCATGCACACTGTTTTAACTATATACGCATAAAGGTATTCCTTTAAACATCACACAAGTTAAAAAGTGCCAAAATTATTTATCTAAGAGGACCTGAGGATAAAAAATCAAATCAAATAAATCCCTCGGCTACACGAGAGAAAACCAGTGAGGTACTCAAAAACTTTAAGGCTGAAACAGGATAATGCTACCAAAGGATGGAGGTGACTGACATGAAATATTCACCAGAAATCAACTTCATGAATACTGTGAGTTTCAAAAGGGCAAACAACTATTGTATTACAAAAGAAGAAGAAAACAACAACATTCGCGTTGCCATATGAACCTCCAATATGGCACATTTCCATTACACAACAATAACAAAGAAACCTAATGAGCTACATATTATCCAGCTACACATATGGCAGGTGCTCTGATCTTAATATTTATGAGTTACAGTTCAGTTTTTGAACATACGCTTGCTATTTCAGGTGGTGCAGGCAAGATGTTGACATTCAGTGTCATACCTCTATTTTAAAATCAGTCTATTAAATGAAAGAAATCATTTAAAGAGTATTGAGATTGTAATGGCTTTTCAGAAACCGATCAACTCCGTTTTGAACATAAATTGAAATATTTTTCCTTTTAACTAAGTTACACTAACGTGCCCATTGCAACCATTCAGTTCAAGACAGCAGAAACTATATTTTTTATCTTCAAGTTATATGAACTTGCATAGAAACAGTGCTAGACTTGTAAATATGTTAAGCCAAACAGTCTTGAAATCAGTGTACAATCCCAGCCAGAATTACAGGAACTGTTCCAAAATTTCAAAATGTTTTTTTCAAGTGATACAAACTGTATGCAAGTTTTAAACTATCTGACCAAAATTACAAGATGACCAGACATCACATTTCACTAGAGAAAATGATCAAGGAGTTTAACTTTAGCTACAAACAAAATTGAATAATAATAATAATTATTATTATTATGGGAAGAAAAATATTTAAGACAGTAGGTCAATATTTGGCATTGTAAACTCATTGAACAGCCCTGCTTTGGAATCATATTTATGTTTTAAATCCAGGGAGGTCAGTGACTGAATTTGAGTCACTAAATTGGCCAAAATATGCCTAATCAAACTAGGGTTGTCAATAGTTTCAGACCGAAAGACAATAACTTGACATGAAAAAGCAAACAAACATGCTATTAAAAACTTTTGAATGCAAAATTTAGCAGTTAATAAACATTTAAAATAGCATAATAGCTGTACATTTGAGCCAAAACTGAAATCTACTGACTTTAGAGCATTTAAAGTGACAAAAAGCCCCTTATCTGTGCAAAACAAGTATTAAAGAATAGGCCGAGTGACTGAAATGCTACTATGCACACAGAAACAGACATAAACACACTGAATATATGTTCTATTAGAACAGAACCCTCCTGAACAGCCACATATGCGAAACATCCACAAGCGCCCGGATGGAACAGCGCTGTGCTCCTTCAGTAACATCCCTTTTGTTACTGCGGAGGGAACCCCCAGCTCTCGAATCCTCCACCTAAGCAAGCAGCAGGCTCATGAAGTCTCCTTTAGTCTTATCAGGCCTGCCGGGATGGAGCCTACTGACAGCTGTGACAGTAACCGTGGCGTGAGATGGCTCGTGTTGCGGCTTCAAATGCGCAAGTCCCACCGGTTGATGAAGAGCTCGAAGGCGGAGGAGGAAAAGAAAAGCGATAAAAGGAGATGACCGGAATTCCTGGTACAGGGACTGCTCACGCTGGGCTGTTAGGTGGGTAAAGGGTCATCGTCGCCTTTACTGCACTTGCACTTACAGCACAGCACGAATGGTGTGGCTAGCAGCAGAAACGGAGAAGCTACCAGTAAGAGGAGGCCGAAGCCGGCGAAGATACCAACAACCTGTGGAGAAAGAAGAAAACAACATATGAGCGTCAATCACATATAGGAGTTTCCAAAATAAATACAATCTAGTTTACAACACATGTACCAAGTTCTCTTGTATTCATATTGGCTTCGAAAAACCTTTATACCATAAATAAGACGAGTTTAAATTTATTGCCATGTGGTTTAACAATCAAGTAAAAATGAATAATATAGTTTCCTTACACATTAAATACAGGTGTACTCTCAATCTTAATATTTGAAAAACATTTTAAATATAATACTTTTTATAAATACTTTTTTAAACAAACATCATGACTTGTAAATTAAATATTTTCATTTATATTATATTAAGTATTATAAGAGGTTTTTAGGAAATTGCACCACATGACATTTTAACAAAATGAACTAGTCTTGCCTTAAAAAGGTCAAATTATCTGATATTTTAAGATAACTTGAAGCAGTTTTCTTCTTCTTCAAAAATAACAATAAACTTAATAAAAAGTCAAGATTTTATATTCTTTTAATATGTGTTTTTTTCTTCATTATCATATCAGGACAACCCGATATATATTTAAAAAATATAATTTTTAATTCAGATCTTGAATTGTATTTTAAAATATAGTTGGCTAAATTAAGGTGTTGTTTGTTTGTGTTTTTTTTTTTTATTGACACTTGGTCATTGATATGGTCATATGAACTGTCATTGTTTCGAAACAATGTGAAAATGTTTCGCAAGATAAATTTCACAAGATAATCTTTTTTTTTCTTCGGGCAAAGCAAGACAATATATGAACACATTTGTTTCCTAATTTTGCTATCCCTTCTTCTCCCCATCATTTTCTGCACTCTTTCTACTCTGCTGTCAATCAATAAACAATTAACCCTGCACAACTGTAGAATAACTGATAGGTTCATAGCATAGGTTAACACCAAAAATCCCACTTGCAAAAAATATAAACATTTATTCAGCAAGATTTTGTGTCAAAACTTATTCCACGTTGCTGAATACATTTAGATATTTTTTGCAAGCTGGAAAAGTGTGCCTATTTTTTGTTTCTACTATGCTACCAAAAAAAGTGAGAAAAGATACAAAAATAAAAAAAGGGCAAAAAGACCCAAATAAACACATTTTTGATGTAGCATCATTCTCCACCACATAGGGGCGTCAGATCCTTACAATTTATCACTGTTACAAAATGGAACAGAGATTGAGTTCATTTAATGCATGAACTATATATTTAGAAGCTGTCATCATCATGGGCCAACAAAATTACACATATTTCACATGACTGTAGGGCAGAGCACCATGTGAAATTGATTTTCTCTGGATGTAAAACAGGGAATAGGATACAACAGACCTCTATTTCCAAGCGGAATCTTCTCAGCATTCCGAGGAAGACAATCACACCCATTTATCATGGGACAAATTTCAGTGTTGCACACTATTTCTGTTTCTATGTAAATTGCCCTCAATGTATTTCTCTCTTTCTCAGAGCTCTCATGTGGAATAGCAGAGCGGCATAATGGAAGAGTGTTGGCAAACCCGGGACCGGCTGAGCCCACCAGCTCCATCTTTACCAGTTCATAAAGAATCAAATTTCTGATGCTACTGGGCTGAAGCTTTATAAAATGTAAACTCGTAGGGCAACACAGAGCAGAGCTGCTGCGCTCTTATGAAGCTTAATATGACTCACACCTCCCTGCAGCGCAACAGATGTCTTTGTGCAAAAGTACTGAAAGCTCCTCACAGTTTCAAGGCCATCTCACCTTTATGATATTATGTTCAGCATATGAAATGATGTGTGTGTGAAGAATCTTTCTGAAATTTCTGACAGTTCAAAAGGTGAATAAGAGCATCAGAATTACACCTCAAAATTAAAATAAAACAAACATTTTGCATAAAGAAAATTGACAATTAAGGTTTTTTTTTTCATTGACATTTTCATAATAATTAAGCTAATTTCCCCTTAAAACTGTCATTATTATAAACCCAAAAAATAATAATGGTAATTTTAAACTGGAAATAAAATAATCCTGATACTTTTTTTTAAAGGGGTCATATGATGCGATTTCAAGTTTTCCTTTCTCTTTGGAGTTTTACAAGCTGATTGTGCATAGATAAGATCCCTGAAGTTGCAAAGACTAAAGTCTCAAAACCAAAGAGATATTCTTTATCAAAGTTAAGACTCTGCCACGCCCCTAAAACGGCTCATTCTAACACGCCCCCACATATCTAGGTCACTATGTGGGAATATTTGCGAGGGAGCGTTTGAGAGAGGCGGGGCATAGAGGACCTACAATAATGTACAGTATTTGAAAAATAATGTGTTTTTTGAACATTAAAGCATGTCAACATATTCTGTTACACCAAATACACAAAATAATGATCTTTAAAAAAGCATCATATGACCTCTTTAATAAATTTTAAGTTATACCATAACAAATGGCACCATGATGCATATATATCTTCACACAGAAAATATTATATAGCATATTCATTCTGTTTCAAGAAAGAGCAAAGGAGCAAAGTTTTGGAGGACTGTTTCAAACAGCATTTCCTGCGTACTAGGTTTCTCCAAGTTCCTAATGAAATCGCTTAGAGGCTTCTTCCAACACTATTTGTGCTGATCTCTGAACCATAAGAAAATGTATTATTTCAAAGCTATTAAGAAATACATAATGGACAGTGGGTCTAATGAGCCTTATGTTGAAAACTGTTTGTATATGTCTTTCATTCAAAGATGAAGTTGGCGTTTTCTTAGTATTCTTTTATAAAATCAGCCTTTTTCAATGTAATATTCTCCTATTATTATTTAGTCTAACAAATGAAACACAAAGGGAGAAGGGAGTACCCAAGTCTGAATTGCTCTTCTAAATATATGTCTGGTTATACTGCTCTTCTCCATAATTTGATGAATAATTTTAGTGAATTTGTCCCAAAGTGATCATCTTGCATTACAATCTGCTATGAAACAGCAGGTATCACTTGCTCGAGAACAGACATCCACTTACTTCCTGAATAAACACTTTCTGAATGGATGCCTACGACTTGGTCACATGTAGGTGCACATGCACTCATTCTGATCTCAAAGGAGAAAAAAGGGGGAAGAAAACGTGTGCTCCTTCCCGTGAGCGCCCACCTGCGTTCTGTGCCAGATCACGGAGGCTCTGGAGTGGCCTAATTTGTTCCGGCAGGGTCCTTTGTCATAATGGATCAGGAGGAAGTCATCCTGTCAAACACACAACATTACCAGAGGTCAGTCATTATCTATGTGGGTGTTCGGAACAGCTATGTGAAGGACGCTATGTGCATTTACGGCCTTGATTGAAGGACTAACATGCTGCCTAAGCAGCGGCCACTTGACCAATAAAAATACAGTAAGATAACAGCATGATGTTTTTACTAGTGTTAAGCTGAGATATTGAGCACTTACGTCCAGAGACTCCAGGCAGTACCAGCAGAAAGCATGCTTGCAGTTCTTGCACATCATCTGGGCACAGCCCTCGTCTCTTTCTATATAGACTTTACATTTGGGACAGCGTTTGATGGGGGCGTCGTCATCGTCAGCCTTAAAGAACAAACTGGGAAAAAAAAGATTATAGTAAGAGTAATATTGAACCCTTTTCTTGTTCCGGGTTGTGGGGTACAAAGAACAAAAAACACTGGTAATGATACTACAGTGCAGTCTTTTTTTTCACCCAGACAGGTCGTTCTCTTGTATATGTACTAAAAAGTTGTGAGCCAGGGACAGTGTTCACTGGAAACGGAGAGGCTGACCCCCAGGGACCGAGCTGACAGGTACAAGCCCATTCATTTCCAGGACAATTCCCAGTCTATTGATTCTGAGGGAAGTGACACTGTGCAGCAAGCCTCTCACAGCCTGTTAAACAGCAGCAGCAGCTCCTCCTCAGAATCTGACTCACAGCACCGCAACACCGCACGCAGTCTGGTAAAGTACAGTAGTATTAATAATCATAATAATACTAGTAATATGATTATTTCTGATTTGATTATATATACACTACTGTTCAAAAGTTTAGGGTCAGTATGATTTTATTTTTATTTTATGAAAGGACACATTAAATTGATCAAAGGTGTCATTAAAGACTTTTCCATTGTTATAACATTTTTTTTATTTCAAATAAATGCTGTTCTTTTGAACTTTCCATTCATCATAGAAACCTAAATCCACAAAAACATTAAGCAACATGATAAAATATTAAGCACTATTAAACTCTTTTCAGCTTTGATAATATGAAGTGTTTTTTGAACACCAATTTAGAATACTAGAATGATTTCTGAAAGATCATGTGACACTGAAGACTGGAGTAATGGTTATATATTAATGGATATACATTAAGGACAACATTATATGGCATGTGAAATGCATTTAAATTTAAACTTTTTGTGGGGGATATTCAGCAGGAAATCATGTAGGGTTAAGTGTGCTTATTAATTCTAATAAGGTAAGACATTATTGATATTTTTTTCTCTGCCCACACAGCCATAGCAGGGCTCAACAGTAAGGATGGCTGCTGGGCTGTGGCCAATGTGAGAGAGTTTTAGGCCAGTTGCCAATAAAAGTTTTACATTCACTGATATTGTACATCCATTTTTAAGCCCTACAAACTGTGATCTATTCTACAATGTTGTTGCAAATTCTGTTGATTTGTCATCAAGGTAATGTTATCCAGCTGGCTAACACAAAAATGACCCATCAGTCTTGAAAAGCAAAAGTGCTGTATAATTTCCAGCTTGTTGGAATTTTTCTTTTTGTGTAGAATTGTTTATTAATTTATTTTTAGTTTGAATGAATGAATGAATGAATGATTGCATGCATGAATGAATAAATTAATTAATAGGAAAGAAAGCTAAACATTTCTGAAAATGTTGGTAGAGCAAGTAAAAATTTCACTGGCTAGTCTGGGTCAGAAAAAAATCTTTATAGTTGAGCCATGCTTGGTTACATCAGTAGCAAAGAAAACATTTTAATGAAAGATTATACAAACATTTGTTTTTCTTTGGAATAGTATTTATTTATTAGCATATACAGGTGCATCTCAATAAATTAGAATGTCGTGGAAAAGTAGTTTAAGTCTTTGGTTCTGAAGTAGTTTAAGTCTTTGGTTCTTTTAATTGTGATGATTTTGGCTCACATTTAACAAAAACCCACCAATTCACATAGATTCTCTATGGGGTTCAGGTCTGGTGAGTTTGCTGGCCAGTCAAGCACACCAACACCATGGTCATTTAACCAACTTTTGGTAGTGTGGGCAGGTGCCAAATCCTGCTAGAAAATGATATATGCATCTTCAAAAAGCTGGTCAGCAGAAGGAAGCATGAAGTGCTCCAAAATGTCTTGGTAAACGGGTGCAGTGACGTTGGTTTTCAAAAAACACAATGGACCAACACATTATCAAGTACACTGTTTAAAATGTCAAGTAACCTAAAAATGACTTAATGAATTTAATATATTTAAATATATTAACTTTTTTTAAGAGTCTGGTCAGCTCATAGTTCCTTAAGGAACCAACAGCCCGTTTAAAGTGTAAATTGAGTTCAATTTGATTTCATGCCGTCTAAAGACTGTTTATTTCACTCTGAGATATACTTTAGGAGTTTAGGTGCAATCTCAAACATGAAATGATACAGAAATTGAGCTGTAAACTTGAAAGGCTCTTTGCAGTATTATGACTAGTGTGCATTAATGAAGCAATTCATTTCAGATCAGGCTGAGTATTCATTCCTGTATGACCCAAGATCAAATATCAGAAACTCTGCTCAATGATGCTTTTGGTTTTGAATGAAGTGTGCGTGTGACAGGAATGTCAAATAAGACATGTGCATGAATCTCTGGCTTACTGAGCCAAGAGAAATCGCTCTTCAACAACTAGAAGCAGAAGATCCATTCTTAGAGTGAATGATGAGTATGTTCAATAGAGCAGAAAAACACAGATGGATTACGGTATTTCATTTCAAATCTCATGTCGACTTATCAACATCGAACATCATTACACAGAACATGCCTCATAGTGACAGCTGGATTCACATAAGGACCAGTGGGGAGGATGGGAGCGTTTAAATGTACATCAAAGAGACAAAACTACACCGAGGCACAGCTGCTGATGAATGAGGAGGATAAGACTTAAAGGAATATTCCATGTTCAGTACAAGATAAGCTCAATCAACAAGATCTGTGGCAAAATGTACCCCAAAAGATAATTAATATTGACTCATCCTTTATCTTATTTATTATACAAGTGAATCATTACAACTGAAGTTATTTTTTTAAAGCAACAATGTGAAAAGTTTAGGTTTGGTAATATATTTATATATATATATATATATATATATATATATATATATATATATATATATATATATATATATAT